GAGATTATCATTGAGTCACCTAAAATGCAATGGATAAAGATACAGTGATTCGATGCATTGTTCGTAAGACTCAAATCTGAGTACCCAAATTGATTTTATGGTTTGCCTTTGGAAAAGTTCTGAACGAAACAAATTCCTCATAAATTCATCGGAAGTTTCCTTATTTACTTGATGAACTGCCTTAATCGTTCAGTTGTACCCCACCTCTTCTCTTCACATTATTTTAAGGACAAGCAATGTTTTAAGAAGTCTAACTACCGTTAGGTAGTCTTTTTACAATCCATTAAATAACGTCTCCCAAGTTATTACTTTGTTGTCCTGTTATTTTTATTACTGCTGCCATATTTGCTTGAAGTTTCACTGGTTTATTTCTCTTTTCGGGTTTGATTACAACTGTAACCAGTGTAATGTTTACAAATTATAATTGGAAATACTTCATTGGTGTTACTAAATCTTTGGACGGCTGTTTTCGCTGTTTTTTAACACTACTTTATGGCTATGTTGGATTGTTATGCTTTGGTTGTTTTGTGAATTGATTGCTGTTTGTTTTGTAGACAATTGCAACTGACTGTTAATTTAATAGTTGATTGTTCATCTTTTGAGCGAATTTTGTTGACCTATTCTTTTTCTTCGGGTTGAATATTGTATCTTGACTAGTAGAAATGTTTTTTTCTATCATCATAATTAGGTTATATCAAGTGTATGCACCCACTAGCAAAAATGCCGTCTAGGTGCGGTTAACTGTACATACACTTACATTTTCTCCTATAGTACCTCTTTCGTGCCATTTTGAACGTCTGTCACGTTATTATAAAGACGTTAGTGGATATTATCTCCTTTTTAATTACTGGACTTGAGAGAATGTAACTGTAAAGCTATCGATAGTCTAGGGGTGCTCGAGGAGTACATCTCAAGCTTCTACATTCCTCTCTCTTATTCCTGAGATTTGGCGATCAATGATAAGTGGAACGACTGCCTAAGTTCACAATGGCCCTGGTTCTCAGGAATCTGCGATGAAACTAATACATATTCACTGTCCCATAGAATGCAAATGGTGCGACATATGATTGGACAGATTAACTGCATAGAATTTCACTAATAATTAAAAACAGCAACTTGACAGTTAGATGCATACATCAGAAAATCAAACTTGATTTCTGTCTGATGAGTGTACTGCGACCAGAATTTCCCGTGATTGTGATACTTCTCTCTAGGTTAAAGAGTGAACCCATTCACTAAACAATATAAAAAACACATTATTGAGATAACAAAGAAAATTGGCGATTCACGCACAAAGAGCTTTAATACGGCTGGGACACTGCCTTAAATGCTGTCGACTGTATTAAATGTTTTCTGAAAGGTGTAGTGAAGGAGCACCTAAACTCTTTCATGAAGTATAGAATGGCTCTAGGGAATGTAGTACTTATGTTACAAACGTCCCTTTAAGCTGAGACTGGTGAGCAGATTGCTGTGATCGAAAAGTGCTTATCCTACTCCCGGTACTTTTGCCATACCGTAGCCCTTCACACTAGATAAAGTTGAAAAAATAAGGTTCTCAGATCCCTTGGTAATGAACCACATGTAAAACCAAGCATTCTTACCCAAAAATATTGAAATGTGACCATAGTCCAGAAGGCCCATATTTTTAGGTTTACAAACAGTATATTGAATTTGATGTTCTTTCTCATTCTGATCAACGGTCTTCCAGAAAATCATGGTTTCTGAGCTCTCATCTCCGCGAACAATATTAAACTGTTAAGAACCATATGATGTGAATGAGGTTCACAAGAGCTCTTAAAAGACTTAGTATCAGCTCAAAAGAACAATTCGACAGTCAGTCCCTAGAATTATCGAATGGTATACCAAGTTACTATGATGCGTCAGGCAACATATTTCGCCCAAGTTTATCACCCCCTGGAATCTGATGTAAACTGAAAGCTTGGACACTAGCGACGACCTTCGAGGAAATGCAGCGGAGGACTATATCATTTGCCACATTGTTTGGAGGCATTTAAGCATGCGAACCCTTGAATTCTTGTTAGAACTATTCGAAACGTACTTATCCCTCCGTACTTTGAGATAAATGACGGTCCTGATACAGAAAAAAACATGAGGTATAAAACCCAATCAAATATAATCGCAGCCATTACCTCCACTACACCGAATTTGTTTGGCACAGCTCCAGCAAAACACGTGATTATAAGAGCTACAAACCGAGTTCATATTGTAGTGAACAGGAACACGCGTGTGGACAGTCGGATGTATTTAACACAAAATTACAGGACTTGTTAATAAAATCTAACAATCATATAGTAAATACTTAATTTGCCAAATGTCCATCAATTGTCTCAAAATCCCTCAGACCTCATTGTTCTTGCATTTTCATACAAATTGCATCCTGTTTCCATTCTTCACTGTTCGATCCTCTTGTCTCTCTGCCGTCAGGCCTTCTGTTCACGACTAAAACCATACACTTTTTATATCAATATAAGTACCACACATCACAATACAACAACGAAATTGCCGTCCATTACTGATACCCCATTATCTGACAACAGTACATGGCAATGGGTGGGCGTTGATAAGAGAATTGGCAAAAGCATGGTTCGCAAAGACCCGTAATTGGGGGACAAAGACGTCAGACAAAACTCCCTGGTTCGATTTCTCAATGTCTGAATGTAGTTTGTTAGGAAGTAGGGTAATCTTCGACACTGAACCGGGGGACAAATTCCGTGGTAAGATTATCAATTCAGTCAATCTATGCTGTCTGTATAAGGGACAAAACGTAGGGAAAGATAACCCCTTTCGTTGAGGGTACCTTTTGTTTTAGCACAAGTTATAGAAGAAATTTTAATGATATCTCTGATTCCTCTAAAATTCAAGTTGGACACGAAAATCCTTGAGTCATGAGGAACTGTTTTGGAAGACCAATGAACACACAGGAACAAACAGACACAATGGTCCACGGAGTTCCTGTGCTGTTGTGCGGTATTTGGGGTGAACATCACAAAGAAGATGTACAACAGATGCATTGGCTACCATGTAGCATAGACCCTTGCACCTCTGCGATGATTAGCATGTTCAGGCTACTCCATATGTTCCTTACCGCCATTAAATATCCGCGTTTGATATCTGTTAACGTCAGAAAGTGAGGAGATGTAAATGACGCCCTTTAGGTCTGGTACCGAAACGACAACAAGAGTACACAAAGAAAGGGTATTATACGAACACTTTTTGATCGCGCTCAAAAAATCTGTTCAAAAGAATACCTTGATAATGAAATTAATCTGATTACTAATGTTCTAAGTGATAATGAATACCCATTGAAATTTATCCAGAAATATTCAATCCTCATACAGAATACGACAGAGTAGAAAAGAAAACCTGCTGCTTACACTTACGTTTCAAATGTGATGAAATTGCTGGAATAATTATTCACAGAATAAACTCTGCGTTGCAAGTGACCTACCCAGCAGCAAAACTTATGACAGTATTGCAAATGAACTGCTCACTTCAACAAACCAAAATCGATAAGCCCTCTTTTCTGAGTAGCTTCAACTGCATCTACCAGTTTACATGTACGTGCCAAAGCACATACATTGGAAGAACTGAGAGAAGAGCGCATGTCCGCATTTCTGAGCATGTTCCAAAAAACTTGAGGCTGCGAGGGACTAAGGCTTTCAGCAGCTCAATAGCTCGACATCTACTTGACACCGGGCACACCATCGACATTCTGCATGCTTTCAAAATTATCAATAGACAAAAAAGTACGACCACCCCCGTTTTGCTGAAGCCATTATGGCCAAAAATCTTAAACCTGACTTATGCATTCAAAAAGAGACTTCAATTAACGTATCACTACCCTGGTAACCTTTTTTTATTTTTTTTTATTTTATGTTTTTATTTATTCTAAAATATTTATACTTCTCCCATATTACACAATTCTTAAACCACATTATTATTCACACATTCCCACCACCTGATCCTCTTAATTATCTTAACTTTTCAAATTCTATTTAATTATTATTACGTAACCTATCTTGTGATTGTTCAATTCCATTATTACACCACCCAACACGAATTAATTCCTTTCGACCTCTGACCTGTTCTAGAATATACATATAGTTATTATTGTAACCCAGTTCTTTACACTCATCTATGTCAATTGTTCTCACTCGATCTCAACGTAAAGATTCTATCATATTTTTGGTTTGTAAGCAGCTGACGAGAAACCTCGAAATAATATGGATTCATACTATTCTGCACCAATATTTGTTCTTTCTTTATTTACAAAGAACTAAATCGAATTTTGTAAGCTCATGGCAAATATATTGAACATTTAAATAACTTTTGGATTCACTACGGTTAGCACAAATGAGTGACTAGAATATTCGATTGGACAACTCGAAATATCTAGATGTGCGAAAATTCCACAAGTTCTTGGAGCTTGGCAACACCTCAACCAGTGACACCTGTAATTGTAACGTGTCGACCCAGTTGAATCGGAATTCAGAAGCAAAGAGGTTCGAAGATGTGTGTGAAAGGCTATCGATGTATCAAGAATTGACTTATCTAAGCTGTTTAGCGGTTTACTGGAGAAGTAGCGAACAGTGTGCCCACTCGTGATCTGGTGCGGATAATTGACCGAGCGCTTTCAGCTAGGTGAATCCATTAAAACTAATGCAGTCAGCACCAAATGTCGATGACTTAGTGATTTTAGGGATTTAATTACCGCTATCATTTTATTAGTATCGGTTAATGTCTCGACTAGGGGTACGGCGGTCACTAGAGTATTATGCAAACTGAAATACAAGCTTGCGGCTGTCAACTGAAAAACTGACAGAAAAAGGAGTTTACGACTCTGTAAACACACATAATGCACTTGAAATCAGTCGATAACTATCAGCAAGAAAGTGCAAATAAGCTATTCCTGTAATTATAATTTGAAGTGTGAAAGTGTAATTTTTCAGTCCGTAATGTCAGCGTGATGGCAATGAGAGAGCTGAGAAAAGTCATTCGGTGTACATTAACTTGACAGTGAAACATTGTTTAGTGAATTTATTGAGTGTCAAATAACCTTGAGAATCATCGTGAGAACTTATAGAACTTTGGTTTTTGGAGGGGTTTGCAAATAGGTTGGTCCTGTCAAGCAGAACTAGTAAAAATATACTGTTGTCTTTACGTTATAGCGACCGTGGTAAATGCCATCGAAACCAAAAATTTTCGTTTTAAAACTGTGGCTTTTAGCAAGGTGGCGTTGATGATATTATGAAAACGTATATGTATATGTCTCATTTCCGACTTCAGGTTTTATCTCTTGATATGTTTTTAAACTGTAGTTAGTATTACGTTGTTCATAACTAGCGGAACTTAGAGCTTGTTGATTTTTCTATCTTAGAACAATAGGGAGGCCCTCAAATGACCTGTTATGGCCGAGAGTGGGGACCCAAGCTCCCAAAATTGTGAAAGTTTTTGGGATTTTCTTAATAAATACAGGCGCACTTCCCCAAAGTCCAATAAGATTCCGGTTTGCTGTGGAGGCTTCCTCAATATTGGGAGCTCGAGGAGAGTCCACTCTGCCTCTCCAAATGCTCTCACATGGCCACGCGTATATAGCCACTTTTAGGGAAGTCCTAATCACTGCCTTCTCGTGGCGTTACTGTCTTTTATGAAATTGAGAAGACGAAAAGCGAATGTCTGGCTCTTTAACCAGGTTGGTGGACACGGAGAGTTGGAAAACCCTGATTCCAAACCAATGGTGCACATGGGCACCAGTATCCTGAGGGGACAAATGACGTATGAGCCAATCGTTGGTCACCGGCTACCATGGGACTGCATCTCCTTACGATGCTCCACTGCCTTGTGGATCAGACCTCTAGGTCAAAGGTGCCGAGTGTGACTCCCTAAGAAAACCACGTGTTCCTGTTTGGGTACCCATGCAGTATCTCAGCCCTCACACATCAAATGAGATTAGTGTGGCGCATATGTATTTGGCGCCTCCTTGTACCAATATCTATGTGTTAAAATAAATAAAAAATAGATGATCGTTCGTGTGCTCAAATATTTGGTTCTTTGTTTAAGGATTCGGAATAAACTCCAAGTGATCAGGCCAATTTTTGGCTACCATGGTAGTCGATCCTTCGGAAATTCACAGTTTACTCTTCTCTGGGGTTACTTCCTTTTTGATATTTGTTTGTATTTATGATAATTACATAAAGTAAATCATTTCCCTTATTCAGACAACCATTTTGTGATCACTTGATTTTCACCTAGAAATGCTGTTTATGTCTAATGTTGGCTATTATGTTGTATTACATTGTATTTCAGTGTGTTCACATATCAGTGTCGTTTTTAACGCATCACCTCATTATCATTCTTCAAAGTATTTTCAAAACATACATTAATAATGCATCTTAAAAATGGTAGGTTCTGTTTTTTTTCATTACCATTTCTCACATTTGTTGATTAACTTTTTATTTCGACTAGTGCTGCACATTTAGTTATATATATATTACACATGTGACTATTTTCGGTTCTTTTCACTGGTTATATTAAAGTTTAGTAGCTGTGCAACTTCGTGGCACTGTATATTTTACTTCGAACCTATCTGTTAGCTTCCCATTGTCCCTTTACTGGTAATCATTCTCAGCCTGGTGAAATCAATCAGGAAAGTGACAAACGAACTTGTTTACCATGTGTTTTGATATGTGGATTATGTAGACATTCATTTTTCAACCTGCAGGTGGTGTTCATGGATTGGGCTGAAGTTGTAGAGAGGTTGTTTTACAATTCTGAGAATCTCTATTGTGGTATGAAATACCTTTCCAGTGCTTCATAGTTTTCAGTGGTATCCTGTGAAGATGATCTTACTTAGTCCCATATAACAGGAATTCATTAATGAATTACAAATGTTCATATCATCACTAGCCACTGAAATGTAAGATAAAAATGTTTTCCCATTTTAAGGAATTATTCGAAAAGCAATCATATCATAAATGATGCTCACAGAAAAAAATCAATTAAATAATAACATCAAAAATACTTTAAAGTCTATTTCATCCTCCATTCACCAAGAAATTTAAGTATTTTCTCACAAAAAAAACAATTTTAAATAACCTAGTGATGTGGTTTTTGAATGCTATTCAATTTACATTCTGATACTAATCAACATATGCTCACTAGTGACTGGCTTCAAGAGGTATAGCCTGGAGTTCTAGTGAGAAGTAGTGACCAGTGGAGTTCAACCATGTCACTTGTAAGATAGGAACTCACTGATGACAATGGTGGATGTTTCGCTCAATTTCGTGGATTAATTGAAGTTAGACATTAACACCGTTGGATACCGGCTCAGCGGTCTAGTTGATTAAGCGCCTAGCGCGAGCCTGATAGGTCCTGTGTTCGAATCCCGTGAGGCGGGATCGTGGATGCGCACTGTTGAGGAGTCCCACAATAGAACGAAACGGCCGTCCTCTGCTCCCATGTTTTCCATGGTGATTTCTTCGATAAATGTTTAGTTTTCTAACATCTACTAGTACTTTTAATCAAATATTTTATGAATCATTAAAGTTTGACAAGAAAGAATATGTTGGTTGACTATTCTCTATTATAAGGTCAAAAATCATTATAATATTGTTTAAGGTTGACTCTATCATTACGAATGATAAATCTTATCAGTATTTTCCATGATGTAATAATTAAGAAAAAAGGTAATTGACATACAGAATTTATTGTTTGTTTTTTTAAAAAAAGTATTGATTTTTTTTAATGATAATTATTTTAGGTGATCCAGAACCGTTTGTTGATCCAACTAGATATACGTTATTTGCCTTTCGTTTTTGTCCATTCTGTGTACGTGTTAAATTGACCTTAAGTTTCCATAAAATTGAGTAAGTTTGAAGATTTATTTTCTATTTTTGACTAGTAAAAAGAATGTTTAGTTATTAAGAGATTATTTCTACTTTAACAAAAACACTTTAATATAAGTTACTATGTTTGACTAGACTTCGTAGGGGGAAATCTCATATTCGAAAGATTCTACATGTAAACTTAATGATATTGGAGAGTTTAATACTTCACAAGCACATTGGGTATCAACATGTTAACGAACCTGTTGATTTCTCAATATGGTTTTTAAGACTTAAATGTAGTCATTTATGATTACATGACTACTTAATACTTGGATAGGACTTCCCTGATGGTGGTAGTATACTCGTGGCCATGTGAGATCATTTCGAAAAGATCTAACTCTCCCCACTCTTGGCCATACCAGGGTATTTGGGGGCCATGAAGTTCAACAAGAAATTACCTTAAAATGCTTATTTTCATTCTCTTATATCAATAATCACCGGTGATTAGTGTTGATTTTATTATTGTCATAAAAAATTGAGTTGACTATATGCCTTCCAAGTGAATGTATAAGTGTTTTAATACCGTTCAATCTTTAATTTACATTGGATCATTGAAATAAGTTTGAAATTTCAAAGCATAACTGTAAATGCCTGTATCAATGTTCTATATTAGTAGTATTAATAATTATAGTAATTAGCTTTCTAAGGTAAGTGGACACTTTACTAAGTTTTTTCCATTAAACGCTCTGTAGTTTTCTTTGGGTGGTTCACGATATTAGTAGAGATAAATAGTTAAATAACTGACCCAGATGTGTCTCTTTATGCAGACGTCAATAGGATCTCTGTGTAGCATAAATGTGCATACAAACAGTTAAGGTATTACTAAATAAACAAATATTTCTGGAGAATTTGATCAGGATCAGCCAAAAAAAGTTTACTTGATAATCACTATTTCAAGTCTCCAAGTTTCGCATGTATCTTTGAAAAGGATGGCACGGGACTCGCATCCTGAATGGGTGATTCCAAGGATATACTGAAAAATATGTAATCATCGGCATATGTAAATAAATAGGACGAAACGCACGTGGTGGATTCCACTGCTGGGCACTATCCAACTTTGCTTATAGTTACATAATCAGTTATTGTGGTTAGCATTGTATCTAAATTTCCACGTTTCATACACATCTTAATTAGTACCTTAACTTAGAAATATAAAAAAATATTTCAGAATAAAGGACGAAACAGCTTTCCAGTGCTTCCTCCTTCTCAATGATAGTTCAATAGAGATTAATCTGTGACGAATGTCACCTACAAAAAATGTGATCTATTTTTCGATCAGAAATCAATGATTAATTTGATGCTTTGACAGACACATGAAATAAGTTCTATTCTCACAATGTAGAAATGTTGCATAACTATGAAAATGGAATTTCGTGATACATGTTATTTGACGATGTTTTGTTGTTGTTATTATTACTTTTTAATTTTTCTGGCTAGCGCTTTTTTGGTGAGTTAGTCTTCTACAGGATGGGGTCCCTAACGTCACGCTCAACCCTCCTCCTTGGGACTGGCAGTAACTCTAGAAGAGCTACAGGCAGAGTTGTTGTTATTATTAGAACTACGGAATGATTAGCCTTCACTAGTTTCCATGTTACTTGTATAGATCCTTCAATCTTGTCCATTAAATCTTCGGACTTATAATTTGACTGCAATATGTTTTTTGTTATTTTGAGTTGAATATTATGCAATCTTGGAGATTATAATGTTGACTAAAACAATTGACTATCATTTATCTATAGTAATATTTTACATGAACACCACCTGGAGCCCCTCTGGGGTTGCTGCCAGTCCGAAGACCGGATAAAGGGAGGAGGTTTGGGCATGGGGTTAGCAACCTTATCCCGTAAAAACTAGCTCGCTAAAAAACGCTAACTAGAAAAGTATATTCTGAGTGGTGGGGAAGATTTATAGCTCAGGTGGATGATTTTAATGGAGTTTTGTTCTTTGAGCTGTATGGTTTGGTCGTGGAGCTTTTATCGTTCTTCTAAACGACATCATCAACGCAAAATTCCGATAGAAGTTAAGTGTTTGAATTTTTCCACATGTGGAGAAACTTTTTTATTTTTGTTATTCACTCCTATATAGTTACATATTTTCCCACTTCATTTTATATGTTTATTATTTACTTAGCTATGATTTAATTCAAGTCTCACTTAATGATAAACCAGATTGGTTAGTGAAATATTCGCCTTTGGGTAAAGTTCCACTACTTATAAATCAAGGTGATAAACTTCTTGAGTCTGATTTAATTATGCGATTTGTGGATGAATTACATGGAGAAAAATCTTCATTGATGAGTATATGTGGTGTAGAGAAATTTCAAAATGCGGCTGAATTAGCTAAAAAGGTTTGTTATTCGTATATATTACTGGCTAGCGTTTTTTTTAGCGAATTAGCTTTCTAGGGGATAGGGTCGCTAACCCCATGCCCAACCCTCCTTTGTCCGGGCTTGGGACCAGTAGTAGCTCCAGCGAGGCTCCAGGTGGAGTTATATACATATATATATCTTATGTTTTATTATAATAAATTGTATAGTATCTGGTAATAAACAGTTACTTACTTATTTACGCCTGTTACTCTCAGTGGAGCATAGGCCGCTGACTAGCATTCTCCAACCCACTCTGTCCTGGGCTTTCCTTCCTAGTTCTATCCAATTCTTGTTCATTCTTCTCATGTCTGTCTCCATTTCTCGTCGTAATGTGTCCTTTGGTCATCCTCTCCTCCTTTAGCATTGAGGATTCGAAATGGGGGCTTGCCTTGTGACATAGTTGGGTGCTTTCCTCAATGTGTGTCCTAACCACTTCCAGCGCTTCTTCCTTCGCTGGGATCTGGTTTGTTCTCTCCCACAGTAGGCTGTTGCTGATAGTGTCAATAAACAGCGACAACAACGTAAACAGATCTAACATTAATCTTCATTTGATGTAGTTAAAGTAATGATTAATTTAGATTTGTAGTATCTTTGAGATTTCAATTAGGTAACGCAGAATTTCTTCGGTTAACTCGGTTTAAAGTGAATCACTTGGTTTATTGATATCTTAATCTGACAGTGTTATAACATTCCCTTAATTCAATATTCCGTAATTCACGATTGCAAGTTAAGGTAAACATTGATTGGATTTGTATAACACTAGTTGACATAAGTATTAACTAGCATGATTCACGTTGGTTTACGTTTACAACTCTATTTAGTTTATAATACAATACATTTATTAACTGGTATTTTACGATGATTCCCTTACTCTCAGTTGTATTGAATCAGTGATCGCTTCTTTCTTAAATTTCTACAATCTGTATTGAAGTTTTTGATTGGTGGACTGTCTAGTACTCTTTGATACTCAGTAGGTTTTGTTTCTGACATCAACCAGTGATATTAAACTATGGAGTATTTAATGATCAACTTTTGATTTACTTGATATTCTGGTGGCTTTTACAATATCACTTGAGTATTTTTATTATCTTCTAGTATTATCATAGAGCACACTCCTATCCAGTTCAATTTCATTGGTACTAGGGGGGCGCCCAATACATATGCGTCACACAGTAACAATGAGGTTGTGAAGAGAAAGAGAATAGAGGGTGAATACAATAAAAAAGCCAACAATGAAGTGAAATTTGTGCATGAGAGTGAAATGATATTAATAATGGATGAAACAGCACAGTTAGTAAAAATATAACCAGAAAGAAACTTTGGGATTGGGTACCTTTTCAATCACACAGGAAGCGACAGTCCTTCCAAGATTGCAGGCTTTTTTTGCTAGCGAATGGAAGATTGCACTAAATCTAAGTTCAGGGTTTCTTGTCAAAAACCTTCGACCACTTATCAGTATGTAACATCAGTTACTTAATTATCTTCGTGTTACCATTGTGTCTCAATCAAACTGTATTAAATTCATGATTTAAGCTTTTTTATCTTGGCAATAATGGCTCGTTTTTTCCTGTTAAACTATTTCAGTTTTTCAGTCCTGGATATTCTATATTATATGGAGTGACTGTTAGTGAATTGGATGTAGTGAAATTCCGTGAAGCTTGTTCTGAATTGAATAATTCAATCAATAGTAAATATTTTGCCGGTTAGTTGGTGGAGTGATTCTCTTTTTTTTCTTACTTACTCCTCTTTTCTTTTTATTCTCGATATAATATTCACATTAGGCAGTATCATCCAGGGATTTGAAGGCAAAATTATCTCTCATCTCGGTATGTAACTTCTCATAAGTGTCCATTCACGACCCCACCATCAGGGATCGAATTGTGCTGGGTGTAAGAAAGGTATCGACCGAAGACAATAACAGATGGTTACACAACGTTTTGGGTTTCTTGACGTTAGACTTGTACACCATTTTTTATCTAGGGTCAGTGGTTTAGAGGTTAAGTGTTCTTATGTGATACTGAAAGGTTCTTTCCCCAGTGGGGTTGTGAATACTCACTAGTGGGGACAAGACTGGTGTTCCTTGCTTTTACGTTTTCAATGGTTTTATATCTTGGACCAGTTCATGATCCGAATAAAATTCATTAATCTTCACAACCCCATAATGAATAATGTCTTCTTTACTTATGGTTAAATAATATGGGAATAAGTAAGTCTTAGAAAGAGGATTATACAATACGAATTTTAGTAGATTTGATCCCAAAAATTACTATTCAGTGAATTTTCGCAAACAATCAATGAGGTAGTAAATCAGTACGCAGCAATGATTTACACCGCGAAAGATTAATCAAGGGAATGTAAAATCCCCCAATACTATGTAATGCGAAAAACTCAATTGTAAAGTCAGACAATATTGATTTAAGGCGATTATCGTTCAATTTACTATTAGTGCACTTTTATTTGTATTAATTAGCTCAATGTTAATTTTTCCATTCATTTGACGAATTTTTCAATAATCTTTAAATGCAATCGGTTTACAATTGAATGATTTCGAATATGAAGTAATCATTTTTGGTATTTTCCAGTCTTTTTAAGAGGTAATTGAATTCACGAAAGAAATACTCTGTGTTGAAGTGTTGTGAAGAGTTATCGTTGATATCACCGTTCATATATCAACTGTAGTGCAAACTTTGTATAGGTGGAATCGCCAAGCGATCTAAGGCGATGGTTTAAAGCACCAGTCCTAAAGAGTGTGCGTTAGAATCTCACCTCCATCACAAGCTTCACCCCCAAATGGTTTGGTACGGCCGAGGTTGGGGAGAGTCAGCTCTTCCTCTCTTCAAATGCCCTCATATGGCCACGCGTATACAGCCACTGTCAGGGAAGTCCTACTCACTGCCTTCTCACAACGGGCGTGTTGTTTACAAAATTGAGAGGACGAAAAGCAAATGTCCGGTGCTTTAACTGGGTTGGTGGTGAAGGTGGATCCACCTAGGGGAGTTGGAAAACCCCTGATCGTCAACCAGTGGTGCACACGAGCCCCACGATTCCAGGGGGGAAATGGCGTATGAGCCAGTTGTTGATCACTGGCCACCATGGGATTGCACCTCCTTACGTTGCTCCACTGCCTTGTGGATTAGACCATTAGGCCAAAGGCCTTGGGTGTGGCACCCTAAGAAAACCACCTGCTTCGGTCTGGGCACCCGGGCAGTATTCTAGCCCTCACACAAATCAAATAATTTGTGTGAGGTATATCTATTTGGTGCCTCCTGGTACTAATGTTTATGTTCAACTGGGTCAGTTGTGAGATAGTAACTCACTGATGACAATGGTGAATGTGTCGCTCAATTTCGTGGATTATTTGAAGTTAGGCATTAACACCGTTGGATACCGGCTCAGTGGTCTAGTGGTTAGTCGCCTGGCACAAGACTGATGGGTCCTGGGTTCGAATCCCACGAGGCGGGATCGTGGATGCGCACTGTTGAGGAGTCCCACAATAGAACGAAATTTCCGTCCTCTGCTTCCATGTTTTCCATGGTGATCTAGTTTCAATTGACTCATGATCTCAACTGTTGAAATTACTACAATCTCCACAAAGCTCCGTCTGATACTAATGTTTATGTGTTTAAATAATGAATAATATTAGTGCAAAATTTGTAATCTATGTAACCAACTTTGTCAACAATGACGAAAGATGCCTATGACATTGAATGTGATAGTTATACTATGTCACATATTAACTGGAGTTGTATACTGCAAGGATTCATTTCCTATTCAGTGGTTAGACAGCACATTAACTATTATATCCCTCGAGTTCGCTTCCATGCATGCTTTGGAAGAGATAAAGCCTGTTCAGTAATTCCCGATTCTCTTACTGATATTGATTTGTCATGAAAGTTTTCTGCTTATTAAGATAGGTGTTCACTAATGTTTTATGGAATGCAAAATATTGTTTTATTGACTTAAACAATGAATTTCTGATTTTTAGTGTTACCAGTTTAAACTTCATTTCATCAAATTCAATTTAAGAAACAATGTTGTAGTATCTTTAACTGGCACACATAAAATGTTTACCTAAAAGAGTAAACATGAACTTGGTAACTGGAGTTATTTTTTTGTTTGTTTGAAAATTCAGTAGTATTTTCTAAATTCTGAATTATACTCATAAACATATACTTTTTATAAGCCATTTGTATTCTTTATTGTCATAAAATATCACATTTTTTGTTTAGATGAAACAGTTTATTAGATCAATGACTCTTTCATTTGAGTTTGTTTAACGTTATTAGGAGTGGCATTAAACAATTAATAAGTAGACAAGAATAGTTTAGTAGGTATGTCAGTTCAATTAACAGATGCAACAAAGAGAATTCTTTCAGTTAGTCATTTCATGGAGTTTCTCAAATTTTTACAAACAATGCAAGGGAAACTTACAATATAGCATTGTTTATCAATTTCACTTTGAACTATGTTTGATAATGCTCTTAAGGCAGTAAGTTACAGAATCTCTAAGACCTCAATAAGAGTATTGTGATGGACCGACAGATGCCAATCTTACACAATTTTCTTTCATATCATTGTACTGTGTTATAAACTGACTATTCCTTCGTTTCTTCCATCGGGATATAAATGCAGGATGTGGATGCTATCGGAATGTGATTCGTCATGTTTGAATTTATTAAACTTAAACATAGTGATGTAAATTTCAGTGATCGTTAAAAAATGCCTATTTCCCAGTATGTAATATGTAGATCAGTTCTAATCAGTCAGTCAGCTACAACGTCGGACCAGGCACATATGTGCATCGGTCCAGGTTGCCATACCGCATCAGCACAACAAGATGAACACCGGATTCATAGCAGTGGTTAGGTCAAAGGTAGTAATATGTAAGAGAAAGATTGCATATAGAGATATAGTACAAGAAGAAAGAATTGGTTCGTAGAAAGAAAGATATGAAGCGATTTTAATCTCTTAGTTTAAGGGAAGACAAAGAGTGCATACACCTACACCATTGTGATCGATTCTGAGCCATGTCACCAAGAGTCTCCAACCATTGGTTACGATAGTCACGCGGACTCCAACCAAGTAGTCTGCATCTACCAACATGGCTCAGACTAGAAGTTAGTGACTTCAAGCACTGATGCCACATTTTGGTTTGACCGCCCCTAACTTTCTTCCAACCATCTGATCAGTTCTAATATTTTATAATCTTTTTTTTTAAAACAAATATTTCTTATTCATATCCAGGAGATCAATTGAGTTTGGCTGATTTGATCCTCTTCCCTATGATTGATTACTTTGAAATCATTTTGGGCATTATTCATCATATAAATTATGATCAAATTTATGAAATGAAAATAGATGATAAATTATATAATGAAGCTAAAACATGGTCAAATCTACTCAATTATTTAATTACAATGAGACAAGAATCTTTTGTATCTGATATACGAATATCGACTAATATTACAGCAAAATTTATTGCTTCTAAACGATCTGGTTTTTCAAATCCTGACATTCAGTAGGTATAGAGATGGATAATATAAGTGTTCCTGTTCAAATAGTTTTTTTTTTTCTTCTGTTGTTCTGAAGTTTTATTTTGTTTTTGCAAAAACCAAAATTGTTTCTTGTTTGTTTTAACTTTTGTCTATTTGTTTTAATTTATTCTATATGATGAATGTGAATTTGAATTAAATTTAAATTGTTACTTATTTATGCTTGTTACTCTCAATGGAGCATAGGCCGCCGACTAATTTTCTCCATCCCACTCTGTCCTGGGTCTTTTTCCCTAGTTCTTACCAATTGTTGTTGATTCTTCTCATGTCTGTCTCCATTTCTCGTCGTAATGTGTCCTTTGGTCATCCTCTCGTCCTTTAGCATTGAGGATTCGAAATGGGGGCTTGCCTTGTGACATAGTTGGGTGCTTTCCTCAATGTGTGTCCTAACCACTTCCAGCGCTTCTTCCTAATTTCTTCCTCCGCTAGGATCTGATTTGTTCTCTCCCACAATAGGTTGTTGCTGATAGTGTCAATAAACAGCTACAACAACGTAAACAGATCTAACATTAATCTTCATTTGATGTAGTTAAAGTAATGATTAATTTACATTTGTAGTATCTTTGAGATTTCAATTAGGTAACGCAGAATTTCTTCGGTTAACTCGGTTTAAAGTGAATCACTTGGTTTATTGATATCTTAATCTGACAGTGTTATAACATTCCCTTAATTCAATATTCCGTAATTCACGATTGCAAGTTAAGGTAAACATTGATTGGATTTGTATAACACTAGTTGACATAAGTATTAACTGGCATGATTCACGTTGGTTTACGTTTACAACTCTATTTAGTTTATAATACAATGCATTTATTATCCTCTCCTCCTTCAACCTTGAGGATTCGAAATGTGGGCTTGTCTTGTGACACAGTTGGGTGCTTTCCTTAATGTGTGTCCTATTCACTTCCAGCGCTTCTTTCTAATTTCTTTTTCCGCATGGAGCCCCTCTCGTTGTGCTACTGCCAGTCTCAAGTCCATGGAAAGGAGGGGGGTTGGGCATGGGGTTAGCGACCCAATCCTGTAGAGATCTAACTCACTAAAAAAACGCTAACCAAAAAAAATAATTCAAACCATTTAAATTCTGCCCTAGGACTTAGATGATTTTCATTTAGAATAGTTATGACATCTCATAATGGTAGCCGAATTCCTTTGGAAGTCACAAAGCAAATGCTCCTTCTGACGACCAGCGTGTTTTAGCGAGTTAGTTTTCTACGGTATAGGGTCGCTAACCCCATACCCAACCCTCCTCCTTAATCCAGTCTTTGGAACAGCAGTAGCCCCTTGGAGAGCCTCCAGGCGGAGTTTTCTGACAACTAGAGCAATCATTATTAATTTAACTATCAGGAAATGTTTGTACAAATTTAAATCGTTACATTTATATAAATTTTCGATATGAATTATTTCTAATAATTCATTTGGTTATTCTGTATATGAGCACTACCTCTTTCTTAATTTGATGCTAAATAGATGAACTTATTTTACATTAGATACAACTTGATAAAACATACTGTCTGTCATGAAGGCAGGCAATGAATACACCAATCAGAAATAAGTAATATGCAACATTTAGATTGGTTATCAATGAATATAATTAAGTAAATATGGAAGAAGTTTTGATCTGGATTTTTTGAGTACTGGTTATGTTGTTATTGATCTGAATATTGCTGATCAATTATTTTTTGTTTTGTTTTTATCTTTTCATGATGTACACTATATGACCCTATGTTTCCGCTCACTAGGTGCATACTATACATTGTTGAATTAGTCTTATAGAGTTGGAATTTATTGTCATTAACTATGAATACCTGTTTTATTCTCTACTGTGATCTGTAGATTTCTTCTTAACTCTTGTGTTTTATGCATTTTTATCAATTCCAAAAAGGAACAATAAACCGTTAGGTATTCTATTTAGAGTTATGTTACTTAAAATATCACTTTAGAAACATTGACAGTTGTTGATATGAAATAGTCAGTACTTATATTGACTTATTCACCTCGAAGAACAGAGTTTTTGATGTAAGATTTTCACTGTAATTGTGACATTTGTGATTATCTTATTTGGTCACTTGATCTTACTGAGAAATAGTAAAGAAAGTTGGGTTTAAATAAGCAACTTTTGATTTATATCATGTTTCAATGTGATTATTGGTAACTGTATCGATCAAGTACCTTTTGTTTTGATCAATACTTCTTCAGTGAAGTGAGCCACGAAGATTATCAGTGTTTTTTTTAAAAAATTATTCGATTACTATCCTGGGTTCAGATCTCACGGGGCAAGATCGTGGATACACACTGTTGAGGAGTAGTCCTACGCCAGGACGAAACGGCCGCTCAGTGCTTCCATGTTTTCTATGATGGTCTAACTTCAATTGACTCATGAATTCAGTTTTTCAATTATTTGATTACTATCTAAAGTTATCATTGTTAATATTGAAAGTGTTGTTACCATAGTTTAACTTGTTAATTTCGGATTAATTAACCATTTGTTATAATGTTAATTTTAACTGAGTAGAAGAATACATTATAGATGCTTGGTAGTCTAGTATAAGCTACTTCTTCAGAGGACAAAAATACAATATATTATTTCTGTTGTTCTACCAGACTGCTCATAATTTATAAGGTTTGGGTTATAATTGATCTATTTTGCCTGGATAATTTTGTTATTGGGATTTATTTAATGTATCTGTATTAAATAATAATCACAACTATTATTAACAATCTAAATAAAGAAGTTAAGTTAGGAATGATGTTTTGAAACGCCAACAATTTGTCTTATTCTCTATGTCAATGCTTTGACATTGTGTATTATTTGAAGTATTATTATTATGTTCCAAATTTCTTGCACCTTAAGTAATGACCAAATCTGTTCTGTCATCGTTCACCTACCCTTTTTAACAGCTTGCTCACTTTATACTTTGAACTAATATACAATTTCTTTTTGATTGTTCTCATTATGTTTTTCTTTCCAATTTATCTTATCACTGATAGGATACTTATTTTCAAAACCATATCAGTATTCCTCCTTTCTATGATATTTTTGCTCAATTTTCAAGATCAAAATTCTCATTTTGTCTAATTGAAAGGTAATATGTTTGAGAAATTATTTCAGTTAGTTTTTATACCTACTGCAAAGTATATACAAGACATATCCGGGGATACGCGTTTCTAAAGCTTTAGAAAATCAAATATACATCATTTGAAACGAAATCTAGATTTGGAGGTTCTCGAGCATCTTCAAACATTTAACATTACTGAATTCTAACCTAAGATAACACTGAACGAAATGTATGCTTTACTAACATTTGATTCAAAGAACCGAGAATACAAAGAGAGGAAATGAAATGAAACTTTATTTTTGAACATCCTTCAACCAAGTAAAGCCCAAATTCTCTTATAGACAATGTGTGATCATGTCACAATTAAGCTACTCTGTTACGCTTCATAACCTGAATAAATAATATGTAAGATATGTTTTTTAAGCTTTTATTACAATTTATTTGGGTTGGGTATATATTTTTACATTACAACCCACTCATCACCCCGCCACTGCCAGACGTTTTATTCCTTCTGAACGGTCTCAGCGAGATTGTAGTTTATGGACGACCTGATCACACCAAAGGTAGCAACTTTTTTGTTATGAAGCGAAGTTCACTTATTCTTATGGGTAAATAGCATTTTAGGATTATAGCTGATGTCAGTTTGTGATGAAAACTTAATTCCTCACGCTAATCTATAACCTACTAATTCTTGTGAGTTGATTTTCGCAAATTCGATTTAGCAATGCTTAAAGGTCGTCCATGAATTAAAGTCTCGCCGCGATCTCAAGTTGCCAAACGGATGATGCCATCGAATGCAAAATCTGATCGAGATTCTCGATAGCAACTCGTGGGATTGATTCTTGTCTCCAGGGTTCTCAGTCTCATTAAAATATGAAGACATATGTTTTGATATGTTGTATTTGTACGAACTAATGATTTTTTTACTTGATGTGTAAATGCAATGCGTTTATTCTTTGCTCATCTAATTGTTCCTGCTGTAAGTCGCGCTATTTTGTGAATTTCTAGTTAGTACACTAATTCAAAAACTTATCAGCATATTGGCATCATGTTTGAGTAAAATCTTGGACAGTTGGATATAAATTCAAGTGGGGACGACTTCGAAGACCATATGAATCGGTTCGGAATCTGATGCATGACTAGAAAAAATATTAACGACGATAAATTCACAGTTTATTTTCTGACGTTCATCGGCAAAGAACCTCATAATCGTCTAAAGAATTAGACACTATGGTGAAACTGAGAAAATCTTCAACATCATACGGAACTCTTACGGCGGACTACACTGCAAGTCGTGCACGAAGTACAGTTGACAGACGCATAACATGTAGCGACCGGTGTCAGACAGGGCTACTGACTCTCCCACTTTCTTTTTTTAGAGTTTGGCTGGATTATGGAGAAATTCAAATCCTAAAGGAACCAAAAGTGGAAAGGTTTGCCGAAGGTAGAGTTCGATAGAGAATCCTGGTGTGGTGCCCTATTCTCCCCCACAAGGGGTAACAGGCATGTGTAACTGACATTAGTCTTGATACTTTTGATCACTCTATATGTATTTCACAAACTTGCGCTCTAGTAAGAAGTGTATTTGAGACCTTGGTACTCTTATTTCGAAAGTTGCTGAGTATTTTTAAGGTAGTCTTATTTGAAATCTCTGTGGCAACAGTGTATGGTCTTAATAGCGTTGTTATGTCAAGCGTCAGAGCAGTGTTTTCATTAATCAAGTGAATCATCTCAACTGATGATTAATTTCTGTGAAAGTAAGAGACTAATATAGGGAAAAAAACCTGGCGTATGAAGCGACACTTTGGTTAAATTCCGGTTTTAATCTCCAACCTAGGTGCAATCAAGTAATAATCCTGACACGCATTAAATCTCTAAAGGATACAATGAACTTTAGATTTTTAAGTGAACGTAATCCAACAAAACTAGTAGGTCCCGTACTTACGTTCTCTATATGGTGACTCGTAAGAGTTGGTTCAATATATTGCTAGTCTGGATAGCTTTGCAGATGGTTATGAGATCAAACATCTCATAGTCAACGTTGGGGCAGCTTCTGTCAGTCTAGGCGATGTTTTGTTAATCCTTGATGTTCGTCTGGCC